CAGAAAATCAGTAAACAGATGACTTGCACACACTATGGACTAAAAAGACCTAAGAGACATGTACAGAACTTTCTATCCAACAACAAAAGAATACAATCTTCTCAAGCACACATGTAAGGTTAGATCACATGTTAGGCCACAAAACAAATCTTAACAAATTTAAGAAGACAAAAATCATTACAAGTATCTTTTCCAAGAGTAACAGAATGAAACTAGAAATCAATAAAGTAAGAACATGGGCAAATTCACAAATATATAGAAACTAAACACATTTTTGAACAGCTATTTGTTCAAAGAGGAAATCAAAGGGAATTTAAAAATTATCTTAAGACAAACAAAAACAAAAGCACAACACAACAAAACTCATACAATGCAGCAAAAGTAGTATTGAGCAAAGTTTACGATGATAAATGTCTACATTAAAAAAGAACAGCGATCTCAGGTGAACAAACCTAACTACACACCTCAAAAAACCAGAAGAAAAGAACAAACTAAGCCCAAAGTTAGCAGAAGGAAAGAAATAATAAAGGTAAAAGCAGAAATAAAACAAATAGGGAGCAGAAAAAAATTAACAAAACTAAGACTTGGTTTTTGGAAAAGATAAACAAAATTAACAAACTCCTGGACAGACTAAGAAAAAAAAAGGAGTCAAAATCACAAATGAAGGACGAACCATTACAATGGATGCTTCAGAAATAAAAATGATCATAAAAGACAATGAAAAATTACTATGCCCAAATTGGATAACAAAATAAATGGATAAATTCCTAGAAATATGTAACCTACCAAACTGAATTAGAAAGAAACAGAAAGTCTGAACAGGCCAATAACAAATATGGAGATTGAATCAGTAATCAGAAAGTTCCTAACAAAGAAAGGTCCAGACCAGGTGGCTTTCTAGGTGTATTCTACCCAACATTCTAAGAAGAATGAATACCAATTATTTTAATTTTTTAACTCCTCTAAAAATTAGACAAAAAGGGCACACTTTCAAAAACTCCTTTCTCAAAGCCAGCATCACCTTGATTCCAAATCAGACAATAATAGCACAAGAAAAGAAAACTACAGGCCAATATCCCTGATGAACATTGGAACAAAAATCCTCAATAGAACACTAGCGAAGTGAATTCAACAGTGCATTAAAAAGATCATAACGCCATGACCAGGTGGAATTCATCCCTGGGATGCAAGGATGCTTCAGCATATGCAAATCAATTAATGTGATACAACACAATAACTAAAAGGAAAGCAACCTCACGATCATCTCAACAGAGGCAGAAATAAAGCATTTAACAAAGTTCAACAACCATTCATGATGAAATCTCTCAACAAAATGAGTACACTAGGAACTTACCTCAACACAAGAAAGGCCATGTATGAAAAGTCAACAGCTAACATCATTATTAAAATAAAAAAACTTTCTGTCAAATATCTGGTAGAAATGGTGCTCATTCTTGCCATTTCTATTTAACACAGTACTGGAAGTTCTAGCCAAAGCAATTAGACAAGTAAAAGAAGTTAAAGCATTGTTGTGGGAAGTCAGGGACCCCAAATGGGGGGACCGGCTGGACTCACTGCAGAGGAACATAAATTGTGAAGATTTCATGGACATTTGTCAGTTCCCAAATAATACTTTTATAATTTCTTATGCCTGTCTTTACTTTAATCTCTTAATCCTGTTATCTTTGTAAGTTGAGGATGTACGTCACCTCAGGACCACTGTGATAACTGTGTTAACTGTACAAATTGATTGTAAACCATGTGTGTTTGAACAATATGAAATCAGTGCACCTTGAAAAAGAACAGAATAACAGCGATTTTTAGGGAACAAGGGAAGACAACCATAAGGTCTGACTGCCTGCGGGGTCGGGCAAAAAGAGTTGCATTTTTCTGCTTGAAGAGCACCTATAAATGGACGTGCAAGTAGGGAAGATATCACTAAATTCTTTTCCTAGCAAGGAATATTAATATTAATACCCTGGGGAAGGAATGCATTCCTGGGGGGAGGTGTATAAACGGCCACTCTGGGAATGTCTGTCTTGTGCAGTTGAGATAAGGACTGAGATACGCCCTGGTCTCCTGCAGTATCCTCAGGCTTACTAGGGTGGGGAAAAATTCCACCCTGGTCATTTTGTGGTCAGACCAGTTCTCTGCTCTCCAACCCTGTTTTCTGTTGTTTAAGACGTTTATCAAGACAATACATGTACCGCTGAACATAGACCCTTATCAGTGGTTCTGGTTTTTCTCTTTGTCCTGTTCCCTCAGAAGCATGTGATCTTTGTTAGACCCCTATTAGTAGTTCTGTTTTTTGCCCTTTGAAGCATGTGATCTTTGTACCTACTCCCTGTTCTTACACCCCCTCTCCTTTTGAAACCCTTAATAAAAACTTGCTGGTCTGAGACTCAGGCAGGCATCACGGTCCTACCAATATGTGATGTACCCCTGGTGGCCCAGCTGTAAAATTCCTCTCTTAGTACTGTCTCTTTTTATTTCTCAGCCAGCTGACACTTATGGAAAATAGAAAGAACCTACGTTGAAATATTGGGAGCGGGTTCCTTTCCAAGTTAGAAAGGAAGGAGTAAAATTACCTCCATTTTGAAACAGCATCATCATATATGCAGAAAACCCTACAAACACAACAATGACAACAACAACAACAGCAACAACAACACACTGTTAGTACTAATAAGTGAATTTCATAAAGCTGCAGGACATGAAATCAACTTACTAATCAGTCATGTTTCTATCCACAAATGAGCTTATCTGAAAAAAATTAATAAAATTCTCATTCCTAATAGCAGCAAAAAAATAAAAAATAGTAATAAACTTAACCAAAGAGGTGAAAGTCTTATACACTGAAAATTATAAAGGCAATGATGAAGGAAATTAAAGAAAATACAGACTAATAAAAGGGCATCTCATATTCATGAACTGGAAGAATTTATGTTATTAAAATGTTCATACTACCCAAAGTGATGTACAGACTCAATATAATCCTTATCAAAATCCTAATGGCATTCTTCACAGAAATAGAAAAAACAATCCTAAAATTCACAGGGAACCAGAAAAGACCCTAAATAGCCAAAGCACTCCTGAGCAAGAGGAACAAAGCTGAAGATGTCATACTTCCTGATTTCAGAATACAATGCTTTACTAATCAAAACAGCATGGTACTGGTATAAAAACAAACATATAGACCAATGGAACATAAGACAGGCCTAAAATAAATCCAAGCGTCTACAGTCAACTGATCTTCCACAAAGGTGCCAAGAATACACAACAGGGAAAGGAGAGTCTCTTCACAAAATGGTGTTGGGACAATTGGATTTGCATGTCAAAAGAATGAAATTGGACCCCATCTCATAACATATACAAAAATCAACTCAAAGTGGATTAAAGACTTAAATGTTGACTTGCAACTGTAAACCTATTAGAAGACAACACAGAAGAAAAGCTTCATGACATTAGTCTGGGCAATGATTTTTGGATATGATGACAAAAACACAGGCAGCAAAAATAAGTGGGATTGAATTAAACTTAAAAACAAATCTGCACAGAAAAGGAAATAATCAACAGTGAAAAGGTAACCACTGGAAAAAAATTTGCAAATCATATATTTGCTAAGTGGTTAATGTCCTTATAAAATATATAAGGAACACCTACAACTCAATAGCAATAATAAAAACCAAACAAACATAAAACCCCGCAAAACCTGATTTAGAAATGGGCAAAGAACCCGACTACATATTTTTCAAAGATAATAGCAATGATCAACAGGTCTATGAAAAAGTGACCAACAGGTCTATGAAAAATGCAGATCAAAACCAGAATCAGATATCCCCTCTTGCAGAGGCTATTATCACTAAGATAAACAATAACAAGGGCTGACAAGGATGTGGAGAAAAGAGAATCCTTGCTGGTGGGAATGCAAATTGGTACAGCTAGTATAGAAAACAGTATAGAGACTCTTCACAAAATTAAAAGTGGGACTATCATTCGATCCAGAAATACCACTTCTAGGTATATAACCAAAGAAAATAAAATCAGCCTCATAAAGAGAAATCTGTGTCCTTATGTTTATTTCAGTGTAGTCACAGTAGCCATGATATGGAAACTACCCTAATGACTGTTAATGAATAAATGAATATATGAAATACATATATGTATATATGTGTGCAGATACACATGACACAGTTTTCAGTGTATCCCTAGAGTCCTTCTAGACAATCACTGCCCCATGCATTGCAGTTGGTTGCCAAAGCCCCACCTGGCACCCAGTGTCCCTCCACCCTAACTCCACAATTCGCCCCATGCCACTGCCTAAGCGCATCATAGTGTCCCTGTCTCCCCATTACACACACACACACACACACACACACACACAAAATGAAATATCATTCTGCCTTTAAAAAGAAGGAAATTATGTCATTTCCCACAACATGGATGAACCTGGAGGACATTATGCTAATTGAAATAAGCCAGACACAGAAAAAAACAAATACTGCATGATCTCACTTATATGAGGGACCTAAAAGGGCAAAACTCATAGCAGGAGAGAGTAGAATGGTGGTTTCCAAGGGCTGGGGATAGTATGGTGGGGAGAAATGGGGGGATGTTAGTCAAATGCTACAAAGTTTCAGTTATGAAAGATGAGTAAGTTCGGGAGATGTAATACACAGCAATGTGACTATAGTTAACAGTGTTATATACTTGAAATTTGCTATAAGGGTGGCTCATACACACAAAAAGAAAATGGTAACTATGTGAGTGGTGTATGTGTTAATTAACTTGATTGTGGTGATTACTTCACAATGCATACAAATACAAAAACATCAAGTTGTATACCTTAAATATATACAGTTTTAAATTACCAATTATCCCTCAATAAAGATAAAAAAGCATTGTGTGTTGCATTACTTATATTTACTGCAAATAGAAAAATTGTGTCAAAGTCCATCTGTGTAAGAATCTAAAATATAAAAAAAACTTGCACAGTAAAGTATGTTTTCTTTTATTTCCTGGATTTGTTTATTCCATTTATTAGTAACAGTGCATTTTTTCACACAATATTCTCTTTTACTTTAACTTAATGCATAGGTAGTAAGAAAGATTTCCTATCCCACCTAGCCTTTCAGTATTTAGATGAGGATAGAACAGATACGGTGTGACACCCCTCTCCACTGCTTACTGTGTGTACCAAGAAGGCAAAAAGCAGCTCACACAAGCCTAACCTGGCCCTCTCTTTCTCAGGCTTCTCAGGATGCCCACAGCACGTGCGGGGGAGCCGGATGCAGGGAGAAGCCAGGTCTGTCTTCAGGAGGTCACAGCCAGCAGGGTACAGTTAGGATGTGCCCTGATAAAGGGGAACACAAGGGGAACTCCAGGCAGTGGGGGGATGGGGACACTATGGTGCACTCAGGCAGTGGCAAGGGGGCAATACGTGGAGTCAGGATGGAGGAATACTGGGTGCCAGGACAGAGGGGGGCTTTGGCAACCAACTGCAATGCACCGGGCAGGGACTGTCTGGAAGGACTGCAGGGATAACTGAAAGCTGTGCCAATGCATTAGCCATGAAACCTAAGAAACTCAGTACATGTTCTCCCTCTGCTCACCAAGAGTTTGCATTTATCTTGTGGTACTTCTTGGTTTTCTAATCTACAGTAATTATGGACTGCCCTTTGTATGCAGAGGACTAACTGCTATGGCAGACAAAGATGTGTGTGGATAAAACCCTTGCCTTCAGGCACTTACAATCAGTAAGGTTATTTAGCCAAAACCTCAAACAATAATGCAAATCGTATTATATTTCAATATAATATGATTTCTTTGTGTCTTTCATCTCTCTGGATCTCCCTCAATGCCTACCAGAAAGGCATTTCAATGCTCAATAAGAGAATGCTCTATTCTTTTGATGCTATCTTCATTATTTATTGTTTCAAAGGAAATCCAGTCGTTTCAATGATTTTTCAGTGTACACCCAGCTTCTTTCTGACACAGAATATTTGTATTAACAATTCATAATTACATAATCTTTCCATTCATTTAATGCATCCAAAGGTTTTATGCCAGTTATGTGCTTCGACAGGTAGTCTATGTGATAAAATATCTCTAGAAAAGTTAACCGCCTTGCCAAACCCATCATCTAATAAGGGACTTCTTGTCTTCCATCTATTTTAATTGCACCTTACACTGATGTCAAATGACATACGTAAGTGAACCTCATCTTCACCCTGAAACACACAATTCAACATCATTTTTCTGAACTAAATACAAAAAATAAACAATACATATGTGCCTCCTTTTTTACTCACTTGAGACAATATAGACACTTAGGTATTCACATATCATTGAATTCATTTGGATCTTTGAATACTTGAGCTTCAAATTCCATCTGGCTCTGTAAAAAAAGGTACTCAATTTAGTATGGATTTCCAAAAAAGGTAGAACAACACAAAATATTCTGTATGTCTCCTCAGTGTGTGTAGAGACAGGATAACTGAGGGTGAGTGGACATCGAGAACTTCTGGTTCATGCATTTCACTCACAGATCTCATGACTACACTCAAAAAACAGTGCTTGGTTCTGTGGCCACAAAGATGAGCAAGACCAATTGACTGAGCTCACCAAAAGTCTCCAGCCCGGTGGCAGAGACTGTCCAGAAACTGGAAAGAGTCAGTCAAGGCTGCATGGGCTGTGGTAGGGAAAGGCACATGGTGGACTATGGGAGTCCAGGAGGACCAATCAAGGCACAGCCAGGCCTTGGTTGGTAACAAGGCACTCTCTGGAGCAGGAAGGCTGTACTGAGAGCCAAGGGGAGGGGGAGGTGGTTCAGTAAGGCAAGAAGCCAAGAGCATTCACGGGATTTATTCACAAGGTGGGAGGGTGACCTTGCAAAAGCAGATTCAGGGGTAGATGGGAAGAAGTGATAGTAGTTAGGTATTAAATGTGGACAATTATTTCAAGAAGCTAGGCTTTGAGAAGGAAAACCATTATACAAGAAATAGAAGTAGTAAGTGTGAAATTAAGGTAAGTTCTCTCCTTTTCTTTCCTTCTTTCTCTCGTTCTTTCATTTTGCTTTTCAGATGGGACAGTTTTGAATCTTTTAAAATTAGAATGGGAAGGTTTCACTAGAGAGGGAAGAGATTGAAGATGTGGTATAAAGATAAAGGTAAATGATGAAATAGTTCCTGAGGAGATGGAGAGATCCAGAGCTCCCCATCAGGCACTTCTGAGACCCACCCACACACCTCACCCCTCTATCCACCTCATCTCTTCATCCATCCACCCATCCATCTACTCACCCATCTACCTCACCCATCCACCCATCTCACTCATCCATCCATCCACCCATTCATCTACCCACCCACTCCATCCATCCATCCATCCATCCATCCATCCATCCATCCATCCACCCACCGACTCATCATTTTATCTACCCATCCATCTATTCACCCACCTCACTCATCCATCTGCTCACCTCACCCAACCATCCACCCATCCATCTACCCACCCACCAACCTCACCCATCCATCCATCTCATCCATCCATCCATCCATCCATCCATCCATCCATCCATCCACCCACTCACCTACCCACTTCAGCCATTGACCAACTTCATTATCCATTCATCCATCACTCAACCATGCATCCACCCATGTATCTATCCATCCACCTACCTCACCCATCCATCCACCTCACCCATCCATCAACCCACCCACCCACCTCATCCATCTATCCATCCATCCATCCATCCATCCATCCATCCATCCATCCACTCATCCATCTACCCACCCACCCCATCCATCCATCCATCAATCCATCTGTCCCCCATCCATCCATCCATCCATCCATCCATCCGTCCATCCGCCCACCCATCTATCCACTCATCTACCTACCCACACATTCACCTCACCCATCCATCTGTCCTTCCACCCATCCACTCATCCTTTCATCTACTCATCCATCTACCCACCCACCTACCTCACCCATCCATCTACTCACCTCACCCATCCATCCATCCATCCATCTACCCACTTACCCACCCACTTCACCCATCGACCCACTTCATCATCCATCCACCCATCCATCCATCTATTGCCCATCCATGCATCCACCCATCTATCCATGCATCCATCCATCTATCAATCTATCTATCTATCTATCTATCTATCTATCTATCTATCTATCTATCTATCTATCTATTCACCCACCCATCCATTCACCCACTCATCCATCCAACCATCCATCTACCCACCCACACACCTCACCTATCCACCCACCTCATCCATCCACTCATCCATCTATTCATCCCTCCATCCATCCATGCATCCACCCACCCATTTGCCCCATCCATCCATCCATCCATCCAATCCACACACTCATCCATCCATCTACCCACTCACCTCAACCATCCATTCATCCATTCACCCATCCATCTACTCACCCATGCACCCACATCATCCATCCATCCATCCATCCATCCATCCATCCATCCATCCATCTATCCATCCATCCATCTCTCATTACTAGACACACACCATGTGCTACACACAGGGTGTGGGGAAACAGTGAAACAAAGATTAAGTTCCTGGCCTCAGTGAGCTGACATCTACTTGGTAAGACAGATATACTTAGGTGATAAAACGTGCTGCTAAGAAAAAGAAAGAAAGCAGGGCTAGGGGATGAAGAGGGAGGATTGTTAAGATGGTCAAGACAGGGCTCTGTAAGGAAGTGGCATTGGAGCAGAGACTGGATGAAGTGAGAGAATGAGGCCCAGGAGAGTCTGGGGAAAGGGCTTCTGGACAGAGGCAGCAGCAAGCGCATAGGCATGGAGGAGGCACATGAGCCAGCTGCCGTGGCTCCAGCAGCAAGAGAGAAGGGAGATGATAGGAGATGTGGGTGGAGAGAGGGAAATGGCCCACTGGGTCCACTTCAGAACCCTCTGGGGGGTTTTGAGCAAGGGAGGGGCCTGACAACATTTGCATTTTAAACATACTGGATACTGTAGAGAAAAGTCAGTAGGGGATGACAGTGGAAGCCAGAAAGCTAACAATCTAGGCTAGGTAACATATGACAGTGGCTTAACTTAGAGTGGCGGTGAACAGATGTGAGGAGAAGAGGCTATATTCAAGGACATATTTTGGAGGTGTAGCTAACAGTGTTAAAAGAGATAAATTAAAGATGGCCCCTAGGTTTTGACTGAACAACTGGGCATATGTGCTTGCCACTTAATGAGACAGGGAAGACTGAGGGAGGGGTGAGTTTTGGGGAAAAGTCAAAAATTTGTTGCGGAGATCTAAGTGGACATGTTAAGTAGGCAGCAGGAGATACATGCTAGGGCTGGGAAGAGTGATACTGTTTCTATATCACATCACACCACCTGCCTCAATCTTTCAGGGATGCCTTGTCACCTTCAAGACTAAACCTGAGCTCCAAGCTCCACAAGCTGTGCTTCTGCAGCCTCATCGCCAGCCTCAGAGCACACCAAAACCTCATCCAGTGCAGATGCATCTGCATCTCCTGTTCCATCTCTCGCTCCATCTCTCTTTCTGTCTCTCTTTTGTGCATACATGATCCATTGCTCAGATTATTTTTTCCCATCTGACCTGGCTATTTTGTCCTTTGAAAACCAGTTATTCTGATAAGTTCCCTGCCCTGCCAGCCATTTACCAGTCCTCTCATACATCTGTTTAGATGACCTCTTTTCAAGTTCCACAACACTCTACACATATCTCTATGACTCTGGCACCAGGGTACCCAGGGTATTCCACTAATAAGTGGGTAAACTTGGACAAGGTGCCTAAACTCTCCAAGCCTTGGTTTCCTCATCTGGAAAATGAGGCTAATATTACTACCTACTTCACATGGTTGTTATGGGGATTAAATGGGGCAATGTGAGGCTTAGTGTTTACAACGTTGCCTGGCATAGATGAAGCACATACACGTAATTAAGTATCATTATAATAATACATATCATACTCTTGTGTAATTATTTTCACCGGAAAATATTAGCCCTTGAGTAAAATCACTGAGCCTTTCATCTGTGTTCCTGGCAAACATTAAACCTCATTAATTGTTTCTGACATGAATGAGTTAATGAATGAAACATAGCACCAGGGCACAACAGTACCATGAAATGAATCAGCAGGTTATTCAGTGCGCTTTCTGTATTTAAAAGACATTCTTTCTGGGTGGACAGGATTTGTCTGATCCACTACCCATTAAATCAAGAAGTCCTGGGTTGTTCTACATTGTACTTTGGTTATCATTCAGGGAAAGTTATATCAGTACCTTTAGATCAGGAAGACATGGCCCAAAGGCCTCCAGTAGAAGAGTCTCTTCTCTCACAGCCAGTTCATAGTCTGCAAAAGACAGTTTCCCATCATGGTCATGATCCTAGGGGAATAAGAAACATGTTAGGCAACAACTAAAATGATTACTGCAAATACATGCTCTTTTCATAGTCAAGAGTTAATTTTTAAAAATGTGTTAGGCTGGGGACGGTGGCTCAGGCCTGTAATCATAGCACTTTGGGAGGCTAAGGCGGGGTGATTCCTTGAGGCCAGAAGTTTGAGACCATCCTGGGCAACATAGTGAGACCTCATCTATATTAGAAAAAAAATTAGCTGGGCATGGTGGTGTGCGCCTGTAGTCTCAGATACTTGGGAGGCTGAGGCAGGAGAATTGCTTGAGCCCGAGAGTTTGATGATGCAGTGAACTGTGATCATGCCACTGCACTCCAGTCTGGGCGACAGAGCGAGACCCTGTCTCAAAAAAAAAAAAAAAAAAAGAAAGTGCTAGAAAAATAAGAGGTTGGGCGGTGAAATTGAAAAGAACTATTAATATTATAATGAGGAGCATAATTTATGTGTTTTATTTAAGCAAGCAGGGAACTGAAAATTATTATAATTTAAATTCTTATTTCTAGCCCATATCTGGCCCACAAATTTTAATGAAAAACTTGACATTACACATATTTACCATTTTCTTAAGTGTCATTTCAACCAAATCTTTAATTCCTTCATCAGGGTCTTCCTCAGATGACTGTTTGAGAAGGCTGTTCTTCAACATGTGAAACATTTCCTCCTTTGAAATGAATCCATCACCATTCAAATCAAACACTTCAAAACAATCTTTTTAAAAAAATAACAAATTATGAATTTGATGCTATCAGTAAGGTAATATTTTCTCTGATAAAGTTGTCAGGGTCAAGTTCTATCTTGATGCTGTACCAACCCCACAGGTCTTCGTGCAGCCTGATTCCATTGTAAGTGTCAATGTATACTAGGATATATACAATAATCTTTAGAAAATATTTCCTGACTCTCAATTATGAAAAAGCATACCAAGGAACAGTAACTTGAATATCTTCACCTTGAAAATCTTGGAAAACTGATTGAAATATGGCTCATAAGCAGAGTTCATCAGAATCAACTGAGAGTTAATTAAGAATAAGAACACTGGAATCAATATTCTCTAGTTTTATGGTTACAATTCAAGTAAAATCTGTCAAATGCTTAATACATAAATGTATATGTACATAATTAGCATGTGTAGTAATGCCTGTGGAGTCTTCATTGGCATAAATTACTCCTCGGAATCACTTGAATTTTTTTTTTTATTAACTTTCTTTCATATTTTATTGACTTGAATTCATTCCATAAAATAGGCCAGTGGGATTGAAACCAACTAGCCAGCCAACCAACAAACTCACTTTACTGTCTGGGTTGAAGGACACTGATTTAAGTGCTTTAGATATGTTATTCATAAAGTACAAACCAATAGGACAATCTGCAATCTTACATTTCATTTTTTCTTCCAAAGATCCTCGAAGAAACAGTGATAATCCATGAATCCACTCCAATACATTTACACAGCCATCATTATCTTTATCAAAAGCTCGGAATACTAAAGGGAAAGAGGTTAAATGGAACACCTGTCCTGCATGATAATTCTCAGTAAAGAATCTACATTGGCATCACTCACTTTTAAAATTAAGAGAACACTTCAGTTTGTACAGTCCAATATTCTCTTCTCATTTGATGAAAGAGGAAACTAAGACATCATAATATCATGAAACTGTTTTATTAAACATTCAATTTTTAAAATGTTTTTGTGGGAACAAATACAATTCTCAATGTCTAAGTATATTGATCATTAATTAATAATAAGTATGTTGCTATAAAATAAGTTGATCATATTAATTAGATATGTTAAATATACTAATATAAATTAAATACTTTATATTTTTGTTACTCAAGTCATTACTTGATGCATAGAATTATATCTTGTCATGGAAATATTTTCTGTGATGGAAAGAATTTGAATGTCCTTTTAAAACTACTCTATTACGTTTATTAAGTAGAAATCGAAATGTTTTAGGTTTTCTGATATAAGGTAAGAGAAAGGTAGTTAGTCAACATGACTTTGTCTTCTTCTTAAATACACAAAATAAAGCTGATATTACCTCCTTTTCTGTGATCTTTTCAAAATTAAATTTGTATATTCCAATGACACTGGGAATGCAAAACACTAAGCTTCCTACCAAGAGGATATCCAAGCACCAAACCTATTTTTTTTTTCCCAGTTATGGCTGGATTTGGCTAATTTGAATCTTGCGTGTCTCTTACCTCTGTTCATAATCATGTCATCTGTCATTCCAAATGTCACATGCAGGATGTTTCGAAATGCATTACGATCCAGTCCAATAACCAGACCTTGCCTCTCTACTGCTCCCACCAAGCTATAAAAAAGCTTTATAAGACAGTTCACTTCAAATTTATTAACTGAAAGAATAAAATAGATATAACAAAAGTGAATCTTTAATCTTTAAGTTCTAACTTAAATTTTGCAATAAGTTTACTGACAAACAACATCAAAGACATCAAATAGGTAATTGTCAATAGAAGACTCTCCTGTTTTGAGATTAATGACCCTTAACTTAATAGAAATTAAAGAAGTAGCATACCCTCCAAACAGGAATTCTCATGTTTAGGGAAAAAATATGAAAATGTTAGCAAAGTTACTGGAATAATGATAGTGGTGTCAGATTCTAAACTCTACAAGGCTGGTAGAAATATGACTCAAAATAAGACTGGTAAGATTAAAAAACGGTAACTTTTTCTCAATATTTTTACTATGGCATTCATGAGATTTACAACTTCTTTTCCCTGGAAATAGATGTCAGGTTCATGAGAACTAGGTAACGATTTTCATTTCACTTTAGGCTTCATGAATTCATAAGCCAGATTTTGGAAACTAGAGTCACCAGTTTTCCAATAAAAAGCTTTAAAGCATATTTTAGCACCCAATATGGCTCTTCTTGAGGATTATGTAAAAATTGACATGCAAGTATTCAGTAATAGTTTGGAGGAAGGACATTTTTATTTAAAGGATATATACACACACAGATACTTGCTCATACACATTGTTGTATAAAGGACCATGGTTATAAATACCGAGTTGATTATTTGTGTTCCAATCCCCATTTGAGAATGTAGGTGGAAGGGTTATTGCCTGGTCTTGATAATATAAAAGCCCAAATACCAAGTATGGGAGGAAGTTGGGGAAAATTTATTTAGAAACCAGACAAAACTATGATTGAGCATTTTAACAAACAAGGACAAAACCTGCATGTGTATAACAGAAGACAGCATCTAGGAATGGAAAAATCACACCTCATCCTAGAGGTCAGTACAGGCTTTTGTGAGATATCTGGTTTGGAGAACCACATTTAAAGAGAAACACTAAAAACTTTGGGAAAAAAGATTCAGCAAATAAACAGTAGGAAACAATATAATGGTTATGATTTTAAAAACAGCTGTTAGTCACTGGAAAGCAGTATGATGGCGCTTCATAAAAATTAAACACAATTATCATATGATCCAGGAACTCTACTTCTAAATACATACTCAGAAGAACTGAAAGCAGGAACCTGCACAACAATGTTCATAGTGTCATTATTCACAACAGTCAAAAGACAGATGCAAGAGTCCATCAATGGAGGAATGGATAGACAAAATATGGCGTATTCATACAACGAAGTATTATTCAGCCTTAAAAAGGAAGAAAATTCTGACACATAGATGAACATTTATAGACATTGCACTAAGTCAAATAAGCCAGGCACGAAAGGACACATATTGTATGATTCCTCACATATGAGGTACTTAGTCAGATTTATAGAGACAAAGTAGAATGGTAGTTGCCAGGGGCTAGGATGAGGAGGGAATGGTGGGTTAATATTTAATGGGTAGAGTTTCCACTGGGGATGATGAAAAAGTTCTGGAGGTGGATGTAAGCACTTAAAATGGTTAAAATAGTAAATTTCATGTTACATGTAACCGCATATACACACACACAAACCTCTTAAAAAGCAAGAGCTATTAGTGGTTGGGGAAGAAAAACCTGCATGAAGAATGATGAACTCTGTTCATGTATATAAAATGGTAGTAGAGGGGATGTTGGTTAGCCATTTTTCCATCTCAGCTGAAATAAAAATTTTAAAAAGTTAGTTTAATTTATTACCCAAAGGATCAAAGGTTAGCCATAAGAAAACTTTTATTGCTAAACATTTCTTAAATTCTAGAATACAATATTAAATGAAACTGAAGAAAATTCAAGAACAGATTTTCATCTTCTTGGAATGCTCTAAATGTGTCCTGCAGAACATATCTGTAGAATGGTGCATGAACTAGATGCTCTCTTAAGATCTTTCACTCTTCTTTGATTCTACAAAATTTATCCATTGACTCTTGATAGTTTTATTGTCTTGCAACTAAAACAAAATTTAACTTTAGGGGAAAGTTCTTCTGTTAAAGAAAATTTAAAATTATTATAATACCCATGACTTATAACTATTTCTATAGACTGTAATAATCATCTAAGTTTGTAAGACTCATTAAAATTTTTTTAGTAAATAAAAAAATCAAGAGTAGACTTTTTCCTGCCATATTTTTAATTATCTTTAAAAATATACACTCACCTTTTGATTGTTTACAGAATGATTGTTTGCAATGCATTCAAACTTACTGAACAGAGACTAACTCAAATTCAAACTTATGGAAAGGGACAAAATCAGTATTGTGTATAGCAGCTATTGCATTGTTTTTGAATATTTATCAAAAATATTTACTAGATGTTTACTAGAAGAATACCTATTCTTCTCCCAGAAATGAAAGTGTTTTAAGAAAAACAATAACAGAACAAAACTCTCATCAGAGTATAGTAGTCATAATAATACCTTAAATTACAGGATTTTTTTTCCTAGACATTTTAAGATGCTTACACATACCATAACATTCATTTACGTCACCATCCCACTAAGAGAGCATTTCTTACCAGGTATTAAATCAGATACTAATGATAATTAGAATGCACTAGATCTTATGATCTCTAAAACTACATCAACATGTTTATTCCTTCTTCTTTGAGCAATGCAGATATTTGGGGAATTGTTGCTTCTGTTTCTTCAAGTGACCAGTAGATTTGCAATGAACACACAACTTCTAAGTTTGCTCGACAGGCAATATCTTCCTCATCTAAACCATATCCACGGTTTCCTTGCTCAAGTGCAATTATGTTTTTCAGTCTGAATATAAACTCAAAGTTTCCTATGAAATTCCAGTACCACCCTTTCAAATGCGAGATTAGAGCAGGTGCCTTCAAATAGGGCTCATCTTGTCACCTGCAAAGTCTCCTTTATCTTTCAACACTAGGGGCCACAGGAAAGTGGGAGTCTAAAGTTGGGAATCCATTCTTTACCGCGTGTTTAGTTGTGCTGAACTCTGGTTTCCAAACAAATCTTGTTCTGAGGCACAGATGAGATGACACAACTAACATCTCCTAAAGATGTTGAGAAGTTGAGCACCGTTTTCTCCTATGGGTCTCTTGGTAAGCTTCCAGAACTTGTACCTGCGAGTGTATATGCGAGCTAGAAAGCAGGTGAGTGCACGTTGGTGGTGCTACTTTTCTTGAGACCAGTGGGTTTTAGCATTTATTTTACACCTCACTGAGGCTAACATCACATGTTTCTATCAGGTAAAATAAGAGGCTTGGAGAAGCAAGTAAATGCATGTGTGGGAGTGTAGGTAGCACTATAGGTGGAGGCCTGGGTTCCTAAGATCAAACCCAAGGAGCTAGCACCCCGGGGATTCACCCACTGACTTACGCCTAAGGGGCGGGAGTGGAGGGGCGGTAGGTAGCCCACACAGGCCCAGGAGGCCGGAAGCAGGCAGAACAGCGGACCCTGGCACCGGGTGGGACCCAGGTTCGGTCCAGGAGCCTCGACTTGTCCAGCACTAGATTCTTACTTACAATGCTTGCAATTTTTAGCTAAGGTGTCCGTCAGCTTCTGCAGCTTCTTGCGGTTCATGCCTGGCCCTCAGAGAATCGGGCCGCGGCGGGGGTCTCGGGGCGCACGGCTGCCGAGACCCTCCCGGGACCCCCGCGAGCCCTGGTGCTGGGGCAACGCAGTGAGGTCTCCGTCACTGATAGCGTGCGCTGCCCTAACAGACGGTGTAGCCAAGGCAACGGCTCGATCCGCCGCGGATTGGCTTCCAGGCTGCCCGCGACGTGGCCATGGCAACAACTGAGCTCCGCCCATCGGCTCAATGGCTGCAAGCGCTAGGTCCTGCGTGCGCGGTGCTGCCTGCAGGGTCCCAGCTGGCCGCCTTGAGGGCTGTATTCTGATTGTGGACTTTGGAGTTTAAATGTTCAGTTGTTGCTGGCTTTTGAGTTCGCAACCTTTTTGCTGATGATGAAAAAGTTCTGGAGGTGGATGTAAGCACTTAAAATGGTTAAAATAGTAAATTTCATGTTACATGTAACCACATATACACACACACAAA